TTGAAAGTGTCCAAAAATAGCTTGAATGGGACTAAGGGAAAGCCATCGGGGCGAGGGGCTTTGTCTTTGGCCAGATCATCGTTTGCCTCTAGGATCTCTGATTCAGAGAAAGGACGTTCCAACCATTGAGGTCAAGGATCAGAAAGGGTTAGAAATTACAAATTAGCCATTCTAGGTCTAGGGCCTGAAGGCACCGAGTATAGATCTTGGAAGAATGCTAGGATGGCATAGTCGATCTCCGCTGGTGGGTCCAAGTTACGATTGCTGACCTTAATAGTAGAGATGGAATTCTCTCTTTTGCGACAGTTGGCAATCTTGTGGAAGAATCCCATGTTGTGGTCCCCTACTTTTAGCTAACTAACTTTGGACCTTTGAAACCAGTACAATTCTTCCTTTTTAAGGGTGTAAAAATATTCCAACTTAGTTTCAGTCCTAAGGTTCGAACTACGTCTTGAAGGGTATTTAACTGGGAGCTCTTGATTTGAGAGTAGTTCCTAAGAATGGAACTGCTCCAAGTTTTAAGAGAGGCTTTGAGGAGTTGGATCTTAGTTTGCAGCCTATAACCGGCTCTACCCGAAACCAGGGGGAAAAGGAGTTCCACCAAGTTGGAATGAGAGAAGACATGGAGTCTTCATCAAGCCAAGCTAGTTTCAACCGAAAAGGTTTCTATCCTCTTTGGACAGCTTGAGTATCCAGAAGGATGGGGCAATGGTTCGAAGTTGGCTTCGGCAGAACCAGAGCTTGCGAACCTGGAAATTCCTCTTCCCAACTCGAGGATAGCGGGAACCTATCCAATTTATAGAGGGATGTTTGGGATCAGTGGTCAGACTAGGTGAAAAGGTTTTCTTAGAGGGGAACGTCTAAGAGATCGTTGCGATAGATGAAATCCGAGAAGTCCAACATTCCTTGAGAGATGTTGGAGTAGGAATTCCTCTCGTAAGACCATCTAGTGATATTGAAATTCCCTCCCAGACACCAAATAGAATGAGGAAGGGATGCTACAAGGTCAAGTTCTGCCCAAAGTTGTGGTTTGAGGGATGCGGAGTTGGGGCCATAAATAGCCGAGAATTTCCAGGGAAAGCCATCAGAAATTTGAGAAAGTATAACTGCAACGGAGAACTCCCCTATGTGGGAAGAGAGAAGGAGGTGTTTCGATGGGTTATAGACTACCCATATTCCGCCTGAAGCTCTAGCAGTAGGAACGGATACCCACTGGCAGGGTCTTCTACCCCAAACTTGGCAGACTAATTGAAGGGTAGCCGCCGGCTGTGTAGTTTCAATGAGGGCTAAAATAGAGGGGGTGATGTTTAAAGGGCGTATCCCTGGCCGCATCCCATTTGAGAGATTGTCCCAAACAACGGGCATTCCATTAGAGAATTTTCATGGTGAAACTGGAGGCCAGTTTGTGGGACCTCCTGAGAATAGAATCTCAAGGGGAGAGGGGATGGGGAGCGTCGAGGGGGGCCCTTCTAAAGCTGGTCTATCGTAGTTGATCGAGGAGAACAAGTTAAGGATCTCCCTTTGTTCTCTGAAACTCTCCTTCAGTCTGCTCTGTGCATTCGAGAGGATGAATTGGTGAAATGGTTTTGGGTCCTTCATGGGGAAACCCCATAATCCTAAAGATCTCCTTCATTCTGTTTAACTCTTTGTTATTCCCATCACCGTCGACCCCCTCTGGACTAGCTTGCTGTTTAGTGCCATCCAAGGGGGAGAGATGGGGGGGGGGGGTCGTTAGGGGTCGGGGGTAGGTGGTTTGAGGTCCTCTCGATTGGGAGAAGTTGGTAAAGTGAAGGGGTTAGCCGGGTAAAGGTTTGGTGTCAGCAAAGGTAGAGGTTCAAGGTAAAAAGATGAGGGAAGGTCAATGGGGTTTGAAGGGGCAATAGGTTCAGAGGTTGGGGGTTCAAAGGTGGAAGTTTGGGGGGGGGGGGGGGGTCTGAGAAAACCACCCATAGAGGGTAGAGACGAGAGGGTGGTGACTGAGGTTTGGTTTTCCAGGTATGGAACAGGTAAGGGGGTAGGGGGAAGCTGCTAAAGTGGGGTCGGAACCTGAGAGGGATAGAAGGGAGAACTGAGAGTGGGAGCAGACCCTAGATAAAATGATGTTGAGTGGTTGGTAAGGAAATGGTAAGGTTGAGGTGAGTCAAAGGACAGAAGTGTCTAGGATGGGAAAGGATCAAGGAGGGGTGGGTAGGGAAGATTAAAAGTCCTGATTCGGCATATGGGGACCAAGAGAGGGGTGAAAGGGAAGTAAGGGGCGAGAAGGGCAAAGAGGAAGGCAGGATCAGGAGGGGAGATGAGTGAATTGCCACTATGCCACAGGGAAACTAAGACCACTCCATTGGGTTGACATTGGGAACAAGCTGGGTAGGGGAGGGAGGAGGAGAATCTTCAGAAGGAGCAGAGTTAAGAGGGGAGGAGGTCAGGGGTGATGAGGGTTCTAGTGGAGGCAAGAGAGCTAGAGGTAAAGGGTTGAGCGATGCTTAGGGAGGCACAAGGGGAGAGAAAGGGTTAGAAGTCCAAGCGGTGGACGCTCGCTGAGGGTCATCTTCAAGGGTGAGGGTGGTGGAGGACGATGAAGTCTGAGGGAAGGCTGAAGAGGGAAGCAAGGGTGGAGAGGTAGAAGAACAGTTAGGGGCAAAAAGAAGAAGAGCAGGTGAGAGGGGGTGAGGGGAAAAGCCAGCCAAGGCATTAGGGGCGACTGTTGGGATCTCGAGGTGGGCAGCCTCAAGGGGAGGGTAGGTGTCGCCAAATGGCGGGAAGGGTTCAAGGGTAGGTAGGGGAGATAGAACGAGCGAGGAAGGCGGCGCGGAGTGGAAGGTAGCAGCTGGGCGGGCATGATGGTAGGTGGACGGACATAATCAACAGGTGTTGAGCGGGTGTCAAAATTCCTGGGGAGAGGAGCCTTCTGGAGCCGTTTAGAGGGCGGGGACGAGGCGGCCTGCAATTAATGGGCTTGCTATGTGTCCCGATGGGCCGGGATAGGCCGACTGGCCAGACGGCTAAGACAGGGAAGGTGGGTTGATGTCGACTAAAATGCCTTTACCATGGTGATGAGGATGGGAGCCACGTGACTCTGGTAAGGCCGTCGATGATCTGTTATTAGAGCGGCCTTGGGGGCTTGAGCCGCTCGGAGAAGGGATGCCACCTGAGACCAAGAGTGGCTGGAGAGAGACGTGTCATTGGTCACACCTGCCACGGGCCCCCGCTTGTACGGCACCTAGTCTCCAGGTGACTACCGATTTCATGCCGCTCGAGCGGTGTCCCTCTTGCCGGTAGAGCTGCCTTGGGTGGCGACGTTTCCCAGTAATTGTGGTCCAGATATAGGAGAGAGAACCCTAGGGGGAGGGGGCGACCATAGAGTTGAAGAAAGAGGGTGAAGGCGGAGAAGCCGCAATCCACGAAAGATCTAACAGGTCAGGAAGAATAGGCCTTCTACTTCTAATCAGATGATGGAGGGGATAAGCTGCATGTCTAGGACCTCCAGGAGGAGGCGGATGGAACCCAGTGGGAGGACTTCAATGGATTTCCAGTGCATTTTAACTAACGAACCACAGGCCTCCGTCACTCTCTTGAACGTGGAAGGGGACCACGCATGAAGAGGGATGTAATCAACTGTGACCCAAACTTTGTTTCTGGAATGACCCGTCTTTTGGGGACCAATTTCGGAGCTTTAAGGCTGCCCCTTTGAAGGAGTAGAAGGAGAGCTCCTGTAGTGCTCGATGGGCACTCTCTGCTGTAGGGAAACTGAATAGACTTTCACCGTTCAAGATGTGGCGACAGCCAAGATGAGGCTCGGCCCATAACCGTTGGGCCCATTTCTCGACCCCCCTGATATCATCCCATTTCGGTTGAAAACTTCCCACTAGGGAAGACAAAAGTTTGGTTTTGAGAGGGCCTGACTCCTCTGCTGGGGTGGAAGGGATGAGGGGAGATTCGGAGTATAGAGTACCGGAGCGGGAGGTTGAGCACCAGGGGAGAGGGAGGGAGCTCTGAGACCAGGAGGAGGAGAGGGCGGGGCGGAAGCCACCACTTGGGCGAACAAAGCATTCGGAGGGGCCGACTTGGGTCCCTGAGCAGAGGTTGATGGTGGTTGAGGAGGCAATGGTTTGGGGTAAAGGCTGTAGATCTTGTTCCAGTCAAGGGGCGGAGAAAGACACAGGATCCTCCGCCTCTTCATTCTCCTCTTCTCTTGCTTTTGTCTTCGTACCAAATTGCACATTATTTAAAATATTTTTATATTTCTTCCTTCGATTGAGCTATATTTTGATATCTTTTTTACTTATGTTCTTTTATTTGTCTATTTTTTTTTAATTATATTTCTGCATGCATCGCACGTAAGTGTACTTGTAGGTTTTAAACTTTAAATTGGTCTCTCTTCCTAGACCTGATATCACTAACCTGAACAATAAAAAAAAAAAAGGAAGAAGAAAAAAAAGGAACAATGTTAGGATGTTGTTAAGTTCACTGGGCATAATATCACCCCTCTCATTGTATTTTGTGGTGGTGTGTGTCTTTATCTCTCCTTTCTTTCTTTGTAAACGCATGTTGCTCCTTATGCTGTAATGTTTTCTATCAAAACAGAAAATTATGGAGTGATAATTAATTCTTCAGAGTTGACGTCTTTTATTTGGTCTTCTTACTGCCTATTCTATGCTTTAATCATGAGGACTGTCTATCTTATTTGGAGAATATACACTGAAATGTTGAAGTTCAGAATCTTTTGAATGTTAAATCTGCAGTGTGTCCTTGTCTGGATGTCCCCTACTGACTGAGTTGGCTCTTAGTTGTTCAATTGGGTTTATCTTTCCATTGGTTTTGGTTAGTTTTTATTCTTAAACAACGATTGAGTTGATTATCTCATTCTTGAAATACAATTTTTTTCTACTCTACTGGGTTTTGGAAAGATAGTAATCCATGTTTGAAAGTGATCACTATGGTATATTTTACACTTGATGCACTTTTCTCATTATAAGTAATTTCTGTATATATGTAACTTGCAGCTACTTGCGATTTGATACACTATACAGTATCAGAAAGCTCAGGTGGGATAAATGCACAGATGCCTTTAATACAAGTGCTTGTGCCTCTAGTGATGGGTCTCAGAGAAAGGTTTAGAGCTTCTTTGAAAGATTTGGATCAGGTAACCTTAAAGATCGGTAGAGCATTATTGTTATCTCCATTACTATAATTGATACTCCATAAGCTCATGGAGAAGAATATAAACTTCTGTGAGTACCATATGATTGACTGTGATATAGCGTGGTGATGCACATGAAATTGCTTTATTTGTGAAGTATACGACTACTAGATCATAAGAGACATACAATGCTTTATTTGAAAGTCCCAATGAACTTAGTCCTTTTACTGGCTGCATCTCATAGATGTTAATGCCTGCCTCTTACCTTGAGTTTTGTGTTGGTCATAACATATTTAGCAAATTTCCGTTTAAAACATAATTTTCGCAAAGTACTCCGATTTCTTTTAAAAATGCTTTGATATGTTTTTTCTGAAATAATTTCCTCTTATATCATTTTTTTAAGAACTTTTAGAAAAATACTTTTAAAAATTGCCTTAAAAATTATTCTTTTGTGTTGTTTTTTATCACTTTGTGATTGCATATATCTTCCTCTGAGCAGCAACAAGAAATTAGTATTAGTTTATCACTTACCTTGTGAACTGAAGATCTTTTTCTTGAAATTTGATATAATGTACCATCCTTACCTTACATACATAAACACATACACGCATATATACACCCTTGTTTTAGCTCAACTTCTTTTAAGTCAAACCGAAACCAATCACGCTTTTCACCCAAGGATTTGGGACCATAATCATTGTGATACTGACCTTTTGGATCACCAATGTAGCATTGTTATGCAAGTTGCTTACTATGGGTGATAATTGCTCTCATGCTTTTATGTTCTTTATTTGTGTGGCCCATTTCCGGGTCATATGGTTTCTTGATATGTGTGCTATAATATATTTTTCCTGTCTAAGTACATTTTCTTGTCACCCGTCCTTGGTTTCCTTTACAAGGTTTTCTAGGGTGACCAAATTTGTCTGGTCATAATTATGTAGACTTATTTTCTTTTCATATTTCCAGATCATATTGAAAGTGCAATGGCTAGTTAGGGGCATAAATGGAATATATTATTTAATTAGGATATGCGTGATTATTTCTTAAAATAAGGGATGCCTTGATTTTTACATATAAATAATATATGTGATTGGTCCAACTCTAGAGATCATGCCACACTTTCTTATCTCATTCTCTGTCGGCCACCTCTCTCTGTGTCCTTACATCTTGATCTTTTTCTTCACCTCTTTTTTCACCTCTGTTATATACTGATCTAACATTTGTAGATTGACCTAGATCTGGTACTTTCAACTTGGTTTCAGAGTAAGGTCCAGATCCGAAGAAGTGGAGGTCAATTAGTGAAACTATGCCTGTACTACTGCTGATATCAGCAGTCCAGCTAGACTGCTTGAGATTGATTACAACCATTTTCTGCAGCTGTTAGATGTGTATCAAAGAGCTTTGCAACCACAATTGTATAGCTTATTGCTCAATGCACTGTGTAGTGCATTTAGTGTTTACACAATGTATTTAAAGAGAAATCTGAGGGTGTAATTAGATTTCAGCAATACTTTGTAATATGTTTATTAGCTTGAAGAAGTAACGATTTCATAACATCAGGTATGGAGTATTCTGGTCTTCAAATCACTTTTGTTAAAATTTGATGATACAAACAATTTGGAGTGGCCTAGATTTGTAGGGTTGTTCCTTAGGGGTAGTAAAAAGTTGGATTATATTGATGGTCTTTTTGTAAACCAGATACAAATGAGCCATCTTATGCAGATCGGGAAGCTGATGAAATGATTGTTATAAATTAGATTTTAAGTTCTATACAACTAAACGTGAGTTACACATTTATGAATTGTAATATTTCAAAATACTTTGGGACGAAATGGCTAAAGCCTACTGACTTGATAGGAATATCACAAAAATTTATGCATTGTAGAAGGCATGCTGCTCACAAAACTGCGTACATCACAATTACAGGAAAAAGGATTTATCCAATTACTTCTTCTATAAATTTGTTGTCCACTTTTCATGTTCCCAAGCTGTCCAATAATCTTTTTCTCCTAGTGGCCTAACAAAAACTTTGAATTGTAGCATGACCACCTTCCCATCTCATTTGTTTTTGAGTTCTTGGTGACAGCTAAGACATTTGGGTGTAGTTGTGAGGATGGAGGGTTGTACCTTCTAGACACACCAAAACAAGCACCTATAAAAGCTCAAGCGATTGGCATGTTTGATTGCTAATAACGAGGGGATGTATATTTGTGGCACACCCATGTTGGTCATGCTTCTCTTTCCATATTGCATTCTTTGTTCTCTAGGACTTTTTCCCTGGTGGGTCAAGTTCAATTACAATGTGAGATGTGGCGGTTCTTGAAACATTGTAGAACTTCATTTTCTATCAGTTATAATGAAAAGACTGACACTTCTTTCTCTAATACATGTTTTGAGGTGTGGGGAACTTCTCAAGTTGTTTGTATTTTTTATTTTTGGTTATGTTACTTTTATAGATGATTGCACCAGATCGACCACACTTTATCGAATGAAATATTACATTTTGATACTAGTGGTGAATGTGTTACTAATTTTCTCAGAGAGTTAATGGATCAGGGTATAAAGTTCCAAACAACATGTCCTTATAGTGATCAACAAAATGGAGTCGTCGAGCAAAAAAATCGATATTTGTTGTGAATTACTCTAGGCAAAAGTTTATATAAGGTTGCAACCTTATACCAGTAGAAGTAAGGTGTGCTTAAAAAATCTAATAAAAAATAGTGTTCCGAAGTTGGAAAACCTTCCAAATGATCTTCTCAACCTCAAGATTTATGGATATAAAAAGAAAAATAAGATTTTCTAGTCCTTAAAATAATGCATCTTGTAACAAGTTATCTGGACCTTCAATTTTCAAGATTTTCAAGTGTTTATAGATCTGCTCGATCTATGGTATTTTTGAAATTTTAAATTTCATCATTAGGGTTGAACATGAATTGTCAAGTCGTTGTAAGGTTTTTGATACGGAAACTACATCTTTCGAGAAAATTTAGAGGTGCACCTTGTACAATATAAGGTGGGCACCTTATGCAAATCTCACCCATTACTTTATCTATCTTGCTTGGATTGATAGTTCCAAAAAACTTATGATCCAAAGTTGTTCTTACTGTGGCCTTCTTGATAAATTGTATGCCATCAATAGTCATTCAGGGCAAGTCTCCTATCCATTTACCTTCTTCCTAGTAACCCTTTTCTTCCCATGCCTCCCAAAGTATTTGGTAGTGAGTGTTTTCTCTATGTTCTGGGTCATAAGACAAACTTGAACCTGAAGCTATTGTCTTATTTGGATATTGTTCAAAAAGCCAACTGCCTAGTTGCCTGGGGGGGCCACGCAGGCAGGTGGGACGCTTCATCGCACCGTACGGCCTAGTGCAGGACAGTTATGCTGGCAGTCAACTAGTTGCCCAGGGAAAAAGAAGAAGTCATTTTCCCCCTTGAAAGGCCGGAAGTAGTATTTTGCCCCCCCTAAAACCCTAGACAAGTCTACTTGTGCCCCCAAAACAATTTTTTAGCTCCAAGTCAATTTTTGTTTATGGATCGAATTTGAATTTGAACTTTTCTATTTCTAGCAAAATCGAAAACTTTTACTTGGAACTTTTTGAGGATTAAAGAGGTTGCAAAAGAGAGCTTTCGGCAATCGAAAGTGCCCGATTCAAGCCTACTTTGATTGGTTTTCGAGGGGTTAGTAAATTTAATTGTTTATGTTTAGGGTTTCACTATTTTTTGTTATTATTGTGTTTGTCGTTTTTTTTTTTTTAATCATTTTCTTGTACGTATTTCTGAAGGCTAGCTTTACATTTGTGAATGAAACTTCATGAGCCTTTTTTTTAAAGGATATCATATTTTATGTGATTATAATATAATTTTGGCTATGTTTCTGCTTGAAAATGTAAATATTGAAAATTTATAATATTTTTTGGCTTTCGAAGAAGTTGGTACATGCTGAAGTCTAGAACAATCATTACTCCTGTGTCAACTTGGAACCAAGTACTAACCTTGACTAAAAATTATTATCATCGTACTATTTCCTCATAAACTCCCACTTCAATTCCTATGTCAGACCTGGACTTGACTTACCTATTGCAAAGTTAAGCGTTCCTATCATCTTTGTCTACTATTAGTGATCCATCCTATTTAGCGGAAGCTCGATCACAGCCTCAATGGAAGGAAGCCATGTGGGAGAAATTCAATTTCTTAAAAAAGAAAAACAATACTTGGGAACTAATCAAAATCTGGGGTTTACAGTGAAATACAAGGCAGATGGGACTATAAAAAGATGCAAGAAGGTGTTAACAGTGAAATACATCATAGATGGGACTATAGAAAGATACAGGACGAGATTTGTTGCAAGAGGTTGTACGCAGACCCATGGTATAGATTGCAAATGAACTTTTGGCATTATAATGAGGTTAAATATAGTAAGAATCATTCTCTACTTAGCTGCAAATAATTTTGGTCTCTACATAAGCTAGATGTGAAAAATGCCTTTTTGGTTTGAGATCTTTATTAGGAAGTCTATATGGCCATGCCTCCATGTTTTCAGCTTGGGGGGGAGATAGGACAGGTGCGCAAATTAAATATGGTGATATATGGACTTAAACAATCCTTGATAGCTTGGTTTGAAAATTTCAGTGAAGCCTTGATAAAGATTGGGTCCAGACGGGGTCAAGTCGAACATACATTGTTTGTGAGGAAAAATTGTGCCAGGATTGAGGCACTTGTAGTGTGTGTTGATGATATTGTTGTGACTAGGGATAGCTATGAAGACATTAAAGATTTCAAATGCTACTTGAGCATGTGAAATTACGTGCTAAAACTATACTAGCTGCTATGGGAGTAGTATAGTTACGAATGAGCCTTCTTTTTTTGATAATGGGGCTACCATTCACATGGCTGAGAACCCTTTATTTCATTAGAGAGAAAAAGCATATTGAAGTGGATTGTGACTTGATAAGGGTGAGCTCCCACGACCACTCCCTAGAAGCCGTCTTTCATCTGGCCTTCCT